AAAAAAAAGGCACGATCATACAAACGTACAGACGGAAATAGCCAGGACCCCCGGCGGTGTGGTTCGTCTGAGCCGCCCAAGTCTGCAAGCATATCTCTCGTGTTCCATCTCGAAACGAATCCTCGATTTCTACTGATATCAAAATCTATTTTATGTGCCTACGTATCTTTAATTGCTACATGGTGAGAACTGCGACGAATTTACGTATTGTAATTAAGCATACACTGTTTAATGGCCAGTTGTATGAATGTGTTTACGATCGGTAATTTCAATGCACATTGACACTCTACCTGTAGCGTGGATTAGAAAAGTTTGAAGCGATTGAATTGATTGATTGAAAAAATTGAATCTATTGCTGGTACGTGGTGGAGGAGTTGCAGCTGCTGGCTTAGGAGATAGACTGGGGCCCAATGTAAGGCATCGCCCCTGCCTTGCACCTCTGCTCTCGCCTCAACTAATTTTGCACGGTCGTTTCTTCTCCCTCCTTTCCTTTTCCCTCTCTTCTTCATCCCCTTCTTCTGTCCACATCCCAAAGCGTGAGAGCTGTGCTGATAAGATGTGTGGCTGGTTTTGTGTCGGTCCTGAACGGTCTCTTCGTTCTCCGTTTGCTCTTTTGTCTCTGCCCTTTTCATTACTATACTAAACTACAGTGCTCGTCTTCCTTTGACATCTAACACATGTTGGTCTATCTTTTGTCTCTGCCCTTTTCATTTCTATACTAACCTACAGTGTTCTAGAACACAAAACATTTGTCCTAATCGTTCGTTAACTCGTTTTTAACCAATTCCCACAACACTTTATCATAAGACTGGATGACCTTTGCTTAGGATTCGCTTCCTAGCCTCACCCTACCGCTGAATCTTGAGTACGCCGCTAATGACGTTAGGCATTGACACAGCAGAATATATTTTTTTTTTTTTTTAATGATGAATAATACACTCACGGGGACTGGACCCTGTCGTGCCCCCCTCGCTTCTCTCCCTGCCCCCACGTCCTCCTCCACCTCATTTGCTCTGATGACCCGTTGACAGGGGAGTCAGAACCGGATGATCAGTTTAAACGCTAACTAAATGAATAAACTAACTAACTAAATAAATAAACTAACTAACTAACTAAACTAACTAAATAACTATATACTCTGTGGGTGTCATTGAATCATGTCATAACACTGAAAGGTCTGTAAAAGACATTCCTCTATCCCTGATTTCGCTTCTTTGAAATGCACGTTCATGCCAGTTCGAGGAATTTAGGTACGATATCCAATGTTTCTTGAAGCAATGTTATCGGCCCTTCTCTACTTTGGCGATTTTATTTTTTTAGATTTGCCAGGTTTTACTGACACGAGTTATGCCCTGAGCTACCCGAATGTGGTTAGATTTCCTTCAATTGTTGCACAACTCAGTGTTAATCCTGAGGATATATATATATATATATATATATATATATATATATTATATATATATATATAATATATATATATATATATATATATATATATTATATATAGTATTATTATGGACCTGTTGAGGTCGTTATGTTGGTGAGGAGGACTGAGATGGAACCTCCTGGACCCTCCGTTAGAGTCCAGGAGGCCAGAAAAGGCTGAAGAAGATTAGCCGACTATGGGTCCAGTGGTAGACAGCAACCCCTTTCTCCAGCCCCTGAGGAAGGCCCTCAAAAAGTCATTCCATTGACCCCGACAGCCGCAAGGAGGCAACTATAGGACGCCGCTCCCGTCTCGAAGCTGTAGAAGATCTAGAAGTGCTGACCACTCGACGAACAAACATGCCCGTCCCAGACCGATATCAGGAGCCCATCCTTTACTCCGTCAGAGAGCCCGGGAGGCCAGTAGAAGTGGAAAAAATAGCCGCCGACTACGGGTCCGGTTGGGAACCATTATCCAAGGTGCTTTTAGTCTTCTTCAGTACTACTGTCTTTGCTTTTGGTTGTTTATTACTTAGTTCCTCGTTGGTGTTAATTTGTATTGCGAATTATCATGCAAATTTTGTGCTTTTCTTGCCGCTTTTTATTATTATCATACAAGTTATAACATCAGTCCTTCATCGTATCCATGTGCTTTTGTAAGCCAATTGTGGTATTTTTATAAATGCTGTTTGAGTCTCCTGCCTCCTCTTTTATTTGTGATATGTACAAATCAGGTTTTGGATAATGCAAATAGTTTCATGTCCTTAAGACTTTCTTTTTCTTATAGAGTGTTTTTGTGCAGTTAATTATGGTTAAGGCGTTAAGTTCTTCTGTTCTCTTAGCACAGTTTAACGTCGTTTTCAAGATGGACACTTCCTCTGTGGTAACGTTCTATTTTGCCCTGCCCTTCACTGGTTACTGCTGGTCAACTGTTGATTTCGATCAATATCATCGATTGCATGTGGGTTGTGTTTTAGAATAATATCGATAAGGATAATATCAATGACAATGATATTGATTGTATTTATATAAAATAATAGTTAACCGGAGAATATATTGTCAAATAATATCAAAT